ATGATACATGATGATTTAACCTATAAGTCCAGTCATGGGATCATCATGTGTCTGGGCAGAAAATCTACTTATTATCACTTACTTAGATATATATATATATATATAAATATACATAAACAAGCTAATGCAGCTTTAATGTGTTCATCAGCATATTCTCTATTCTGTTCCTTTGAGCCTATTGGTGAAGCAAACAATACTGTTGCAGGCAAAGTTTCTGAATAAAAATACTCAACTACATCATCAGCCTCAAGATTTTGGTGCCAATCTATCCCCAAATAGAGGAGGTTACAATTCAGAACTTACAATTTATTGAAAATTAAACTTCCTCAAGAAACTACAGCTATAATTGCATTTTACTTCCGTCCCACATCGCTGTCATGTCAACAAACGCCTACACGACAAACAAATTCAAGTGTAACTTTCATGTTTTCATCTCCAGATAATTCACACGTTTCTCTGCTGTTTACTCCAACATGTCACCACCAGGCTACAGACTGTAATGCTGCTCTAACAGACTTTGTGATCCTTAAACATTCACGTTACCTTTACACCCACATAATATCCATGACTAATGGCCGTCAGAGCACACAAGATAATTGTTTTTTTAAAGGAGCAATCCAAATATTTTCAGACATGTGATTATCAGCAGAAATACTCATTTAAGTTTCTATAAATGCTCTTTTGATGCATTCTTTTGAGTCAAAAACTTAAAAACATTAAAATAATCATGTGATTGCCTCATGTTCCTCCCTTAGGACAATCAATGAGAAAGACACAGCTTTCACTCAGACTGCACAGGACGCACAACAAGAACAGAGAGCACAGAGAACCCACAATGTGTCCATGACAGGACGTCTCTGCAAAACCTCTGAGGGTTTGTTCAATGACACAGTGACAGACGACCCGTCCTGTCCTCTAATCAGTGTGGCAGTTGACAGGCCACACACACAGACATATTTATCAATGTTCTCAGTCAGATTAGCAGCACTGATGTCCTTAAACTCATGTTTCCTCCTCATCCTGCTCTGATTATTCTGACATTTTAATGTGAATGGCTTTAAAGTGAACAATATGTTTGGTTTAATGACATTTGCTTCAAAGAGAGACACAACAATACAAATCAGAAGTTGTCCGACAGCCATGTGCTCATGAGGATCAGAGCAGCAGATCAATAGTCTCTCATCCCCACACACACACACGCTCAGACTGACGACACGACTCTGCTCCGAAGTCAGTGTCTGTGTCCAGGATTACTGTGCTTCACAACCAGTCAACGATAACTGTTTAATCTGGACTGTCCTTGACCTGCCTCCAACACTGAGTGCACACACACAAACCATAAACAAACACACACACAATCTCTATCAGGACGTTGCATTGACTTCTATTCATTAAGGACAGCCTAACCGTAACCTTGTTACATTTAATTCATTATATATTTTCTGTTAGGAACTTTATTTACCACATACAACATCCAGAGAGAAATCGACAGTGGTTAGAGCAGGGTATCTACTGAATCCACAAATGTCAAAAGCAACATATTGTGAACAGCAAATTCTGTTTCATTTTATGAAAAACATTGACAATAAAATCTTCACTGCAGATAAACCAGGTGGGATGAACACAAAGCTCTGCACACAACGACCAACACACAACCAATAAAAACAAATAAATAATATAAATAAACAATAACTATTGTTAAGATGAAGAGATCAACCATTAATGAGTCTGACACAAAGCTTGACATGGTCCTTAGTCCTGAGTGTGAGTGATGTGTATCTCCGGCCTTACACAGTGTGTGTGTGTGTGTGTGTGTGTGTGTGTGTGTGGTGTCTGATGTTATTTACATTCCTTTTATCCTTGTCCTTCTCTTGGTCATAAAAGGTTCCTGCTCCAGTCTAATTATTCTGCTGCTCATTCTTATGATTTCTTTCAGTGGGTTGCTGTGGATTTTACTGAGGGACCTGACCCAAGCAGCTATGTTGAAGGTCATGACAGATTCAACGAAACATTTCTAAAAGGAGCTCAGGACTGTGTGTTGGACTTGAAGTCTGCGGAGTTTCTTATAGGAAGGGAACTGCTGGATTGAAAGGTGAGTTAACAAGTGATCAATTATTGTTCCTATTATTATCCATGAACAGTTTATCACAACAATTCACATACTACCCTTAACCCTAAACCTAACTTACCCTTAAAGCATGTCTTCACTTAAAAACGTAATGAGACTCGTTTCTTGTCCCATAAGGAAGAGACATCTCCATAATGTGACTGTGTAAAGAGATGTAGGTCCCCACAGCATGAGTAATACCAGGACCACACACACAGTATGAGCTCACATATCTGACAGTATCACTGTGTATAAATATGTGTCTGTGAAGAAACAGTATAACTTCACATTTCATTCCTAAACTGAATTCAAATAGTGGATAGAGACAGTATGGGAGTTTTTAAAATCATTCATACATTGACAGATATTGACAGCGGCACTAGTTTACACAGAATCACTTGTGGAAATGATCTAAATGTGAAACACAAAATGAATCATGATGGAAATTGACCTCACGCTGTGATTTCACTGGGAATGAATCATGTCATGGAAAAAACACAGTGACAGTCTCAGAGCAGAGTTGATTAGTTTTGTCTGACGAGGCGCTGAACCCAGAACTTCTTTTCACTGATGTAAAAACCTTGAAAGTTGAATCATGTGCATCAGTGCCAGTTGTAAATGCACCAGAGGTGTTTTAAACTTTAAGGACATCCACTGACACCGCCTCATCATAAACACAGAACCCTGTAGTGTAGTGTTTGTCATGATCCCCACGCGCGCGCACACACACACACACACACACACACACACACACACACACACACACACACACACACACACACACACACACAGCTGCTGCGGTCGACACACAAACCAGAGCTGAGCTGCATCCAGCGCAAGTATCGATCAGCAAACAAACACCATTAGCAATAATCCTCAACAAAGTAAAGTAAACTCACTGTGTGTGTTCGATCTCAAACGGCCTCAGAGTGAAGTCATCCCTCAGAGACTGAAACCAAGACATGAGCTCTCTCTCCTCTTTCTCCTTCTCTTCCCCCCCCCTCTCTCTCTCCCTCTCTCTCTCTCTCTCTCTCTCTCTCTCCCTCTCTCTCTCTCTGTGATGATTGGATTATTTGTCTCAGTCCTCTCTGCTACTGCTGCTGCGTTCAGGAGCGGCTCGGGAACAAGAGCAACTGCTGTTGCTCATGTGGCAGATAAACAAAGGGTCAACAGTTTACCTCAATTGAAGAAATAAACTTTAGAGACAATAAATGTAATAATAACACACTCTCACCTCTGAACACTTCCCTTTACCTCTAAAAAAGGAAGAATCTTTTGAAAGCTTATCTGATTGAAGTTATATACAGAACCAGAACCGGATACTTCTCTCTACCAATCAGCTAACGACACACTTCAAAATGTTTAATGACATTTATCCAAGCAGCACATTTTAAAGACAAAGATTTAACATTGACAAAGCTGGATTGACAATAAATATTCTCAGGCACCTATTGATAATAACAATATAGTGACATTTTGAACACAACTAATTTGGCTACATTCATTTGTTAATTATTTGTATTCAAGTGTATCTGTTTGTTTCCTATTCTCATACCAATTCATAAGTTCAGTAGTTAGTTTGTACTATCGTGACCATTATATTTTACATCATCAAAGCAAACAGCAACAATTTGAATTGGAATAAAACTAAATTTAAGTTTTTGGGATAATCCATCAAATCAAAATAATATATTTGGGTGTTAGTATATATAAAGAAGAAGGGGAGCAAAAGTGTTGACACTTTGGGTGTTGCTTCTCTTCATATTTTGTATTGTTCACTTACTTTTTAATATTGTGGTTATTGCACTGAGGTGTGGGGCAATACGTATAAAACAAATATTAGAGCCTTGCATGTATAACAGAAAAGAGCAATACTATTTAACGTATACTTGATTAATTATGTTATTTGTGAAAGAAAATAATTAAAAACAGAGATGGACATCTTTATTTAAGTTATGTTGTTAATATGACAGGATTGAACCAAAATGCTGAGCAGGTTTTTGGACTTCTTGTAGTTTTTTATGATTCCACTGATCCCACAATATAATTTCCATGGATATAATGATCTATAAGGACTAGTTTTGACGTTTGCTTCCTCATAAGTTTGGGTCTTTTGATGAAGTCATTTTTACGAGTGACACTTGAATGCACCATAAACACAACGCAGAGCACCACCCAAATGATTTCTGTGCAGATAAGAAAATGATGTCCTGACTAACAGGCACTTCAATAAAGTACAAACTCTGAAGATAAATAACTGGAAAAACTAAAAGGTGAAGTTATTTCAATATCAAAACAACTCGAAGCAGCAGCTCTGGCTGTCACACTTTGTTTTTTAACTTCTGTTGTTACTTTACTGGAGCAGGATTGTTTATTCATGTACGTGTTTGTGAACCTGTTGCCATGACAATCAGTCTAATTCAACATGGTCCCTCAGCTCCAAAAATGTGTCAGCAAGTTACATTGTTTCATGCAAACTGAAAGTCTTGAGCTGCAGAACTAAAAAGAAGCTGTAACGCAATATGCGCTTATTGTAAGTCGCTTTGGTAAAACAAACAAACACAAACCAGTTTTTCACCAGAAACTGGTTTGTGTTTGGAAGAAAATGTCACTGAAGAAAAAGATTTTAGGATTAACACTGCCCTCTGGTGTTGGAACTTCATTTGAGCACTTACTGTGTCGAAAAACTATTTGCTTTACTGCACCTCTTACGTTGTGGCACCATCATGAGCTGCGACAGACAACTGACAGATAAAAAGTCAAAAGTGCTTTCAAATTGTCCACTTTAAAATAATCTGTCAATGCAGTGATATCATTTTGTCCTCTCCCGTATTCTACTCGTCTAAAACATTCAAAACAAATGACAACATTGATAGACATTGATAAAAACACAGTACTATTTAATCTAGTCAGTTTACATATTGAAAACATTACAAACATTAAAAAACAGATACATTTTACTCTCCATTATCAGTATCGACATTCGTCACCAAAAATCCATATCAGTCAGGCTTTAGTAAGGACAATTATAAAAAAGTGAAAATTCCAAATGAAACATGTAAAATGAATAGATCCAAATATTTATATTTAGAAATTACAGTCGCCCTGCCTCCTTGAACTTGCTGAGCAGTCCATCATCGGCCCTCAGGGGGAAGTACAGCGTCCGGGTTTTGTAGTACTTTGGGTCAGACTGGAGGTTTTGGATAACATCTGCGAGGAGGTGGGCGCGCTCCACTCCGCAGCCCGGAACCTCGTAGCCCAGCTTGGTGAAGTGGATATGGAGGTGGTAGTAGGACGGCTGGTAGTGCAGGTAGACTCTCAGCTTACTGGCTGGGAGGTTGTAGCACTTCAGGATGGCCTCCTGAGTCACAACAAATCAGATATTATCAATCTTTATAACTACCATTTATGTTCTATTACAGGGTCATTCTTCTCTACTTCAGAGAGCCAAGTCTAATCCTAGCTCTTTAAAATGGAAACTATCACTTCACATAATTGTTTGGAGATGATGATTATGTTTCTCACTCATGTTTATGGAAGTTGAGGGAATACAAACATTTTCTGCCCCCAGACAAACCCATGAATAAGTGTGAGCTCACCTTTCCTCTTTGTAAGATGTTCTGGAGCAGTGGTATATGCTCTAACGTCAGGTCCCTCAGACTTTTGATGTTCCTCTTGTGTACAATAGCAATCAGGTACAAATTATTTACCTGTAGAGGAAAGCAGATTGTTTTGTGAAACTGTTTTAGTCCATAAAATGATTATAGCAGCATGGTGGAACATTTAAATATGCATTAAAGAGAAGATATGAAGTTTATAGTTAAATGTTTGATGATGCTCATAGATGTGTGCATGTATGTGATATATATATATTTCAATATATAGATGTGATCATCAATGTAAATATTGTAATTTATTGGAGGATGCTTGGATATGTTCTGATTTATATAAGTAATATAAGTATCTGTTTGAATCTGCATATATACAGTATATGCATTAAGTTTCTAAATGTGTATATATTTATATAGCATAATACATATGAATACAGATATTGCAGGCTAGTATGTATCCAGGAAGAATTTTGTTTATTATGCTTTTTTCTGATTTTAACATCATAGTTGTTTATCTTTAAGTGTATTAAATGATATCATGTTTTATTTGTGTTTTTATATTTTGTGTGGACCCAAGGGAGAGTAGCTGAGGCTCAACATCAGCTCATGGTGATCTGAATAAAAGAAAGAGAAAACTAAAGAAAAATTTTGTGTGGTTTCTCCTGAGGTCTCTCACCTGTTTTTGGTCCCATTTGAAATCAGGGAGGAGGACGAAGCCGATCTCCGGGTCCGGATCTTCATAAATGATCCTCTCAGCCTCTGCCTTCTTCTCCAGGATGTTGTACACCCACTGATGCGGTGGCAAAAACAGTCAGTGTTGTACATTTAAAAGTGAACACAGGAAATAATGACCTCTGGAGACTGACCTGCACGCTGAAACTCTGCCCCTGAATGTAAGGCAGAGTGATGGACTCATAGTCCGTCGCCGACTCCTCCAACAGAAAACTCTCCTGACGCTGGTATTTCTTCACGTGCTTCTCTGTGGCTGGAAACACCACAGTGGTCTTGATCTCTGCAAAACACACACAGGTCATCTAGTTTTCCTCTACCTGGATCAAGTGGCAGCAAGACTCAAGGACCTTCAGCCATGTGGGATCATACCACTGAGGTGAGGGGGGGGCTGCAGCCAGTACGTGCTGTAAATGTCGTTCCTCATCTCCAGTTTGAGTCTGGAGCCAGTGAAGAGGTCAGTCAGGGAGTCTTCTCCGAAGGGAATCTTCTCCATAATCACCACAGCATCCTGACCATCCAGCTGAAGATGACACGATCAACAGTTTCACTTCTGCCTCAGATCCTAATGAGACTAGTTTTACTGAATAGATAAAGAAATACACACGTGTACTTTTGCAATCCTACCCTCACAGTACTCGGTAGTATTCAGTACATCCTCACAAACAGGCATCCATTGATTTTTTTATGAAATCTCAAAACCGGAAGAGCATATGTTCCCGCTTCTCACGCCGGTTTGAATGAAAACAACCATGAAATATACTTCCCCTCCTCTCTTACACATGTCCTTGTCTCTTTTACCCATATACAGTCTCTGCTTTGACCACAGGCAGGTTGAGCTAAACATCTTCTAGCAGCAGAGCTAGCTGACCTTACCACCAGCTTACCTTTCCATGGACGAAGACGGTCTTCTCTCGGACAGACTCACTCAACACGCTGGATGTTTGAAACCCACACAGAAGAGTCTCTCCTCCATTGTTCTCATTGTTCTCACTGTCACTCTTCACCCTCTTCACGCTTTCTTCCAACTCCTTGGTTCCGTCTCTCCCATGTTTAGCCATTTTTCATCCTTCCAATGTTACTTCTTCTTCTTTTGTTTTGTTAACGGCGGGTGGCGCCGGACGTTAAAGGTGCATTAGCGCCACCTACTGTGCTGGAATGTGAGTCAGAGTGATGGGCTGAGGAAATACCTTAACGACAAAACAAAAAAATCACATTAACATCCAGTTTAATCCAGTTTCTTTTAAAAACTCAAACAAGACTTTATATTTCCCTCAATACTGAACAGATTGTTTAGGTTTAACTCTTCCACCTCACATTTCCTCAGCTCCTGCTGTGGCTTTCTCTTTCTGTGTTATATTTCTGGCAGTGACAGAAGTTCCACCGTTTCTTCCCCTAAACCACATTCACTCTGTCCTGATGGAGGTTTCCCTATTGAACACATTGTTTTGTTTAATCCTGTGTGTCCTAATCTTAATCTCTCTGATACCACTGTTTGCTCTCTGGTGTTTTTCCTGATTATTTTCATTCCTCCCACTTTTTGCTTAATTTGATATGAATGGTGTCCTTTACTTCCCTCATTGTCATGATGTTAGTCCCAGTTAATGTTTTAGCTTCGGCCTTGCTGAAAGCTACCTCCATAACTCTCTCCTTTTTTGTTTCTGATTGTTTTGCGACTGAATCTGTCCCTGTGAGCTGGGATCCACATGAACCTGACTTCTGTTTGTGTGATGTAGTCTGAATAATGTCTTGTATATTTCATACAGTGTATCTGCTCTGCTGTGGGAGGACAGGGGCTGTAATGATACCAATACTGATAGTGAATCTGAACATACCATAACCTTTTTAATCTGGTTCTGCTCTGTCCACTGTAATGCTATTGCTATTGCCAACTTCTCAACTATATTTATATATACTGTTAAGTGATCGGATGTTCTTCCCTTTATATTTGCTCTGGAACAACAAAAGCAAAGCCAGTCTCTCCATTCTTTGGCATCTCTCTTCGGATTCCCCTCATGGTTTTTCTCATTCCCCACACATTGCTTATAGGAGTGGATCTGTCTATTTGGGGACAGAATTCCCTCCAACTTTCTCTCTTTGCTTTATGATCAATTAGATTTGTGAATTGTGGAGATAAAGCTGCAGGTAAAGGAACAACACACCGCTGTTCACACACTGTTATCACCAATAATCAATTAGCCTCAATTACAGCAAAGTGATCATTAAAGTAATGTGATTACCGGGTTGGGGCGGGGCGACTGTTAAACCAGCCAATGAGAAGCCTCTGCTCAGGGACGTGTAAATCAGGAAGTGATTTAACGCGGACACGCTGCTGTGTGTTGACATCAGAGCCGGAGACAGAAAACAGTGTGTGTCTCCTCGTTAATGACGAAGCATCATGACCCAACATGTCCACCTCTGTGTTCTCCTGCTGGTCCTCCTTCTCCCTCCTGCTGCTGACTCCAGAAGAGGTAGCGTCAGTTCTCACATACACTTCATGTTGAGGTTGTTGAGTTCCTGACTTATTCGAGTTCAGGTTGATAAACAGTAAATCTCAGTAACTAGCTGACACGAGCATTAATGGCTGCTTGTTATTTCATTACTTGTGGTTTTAGTGGCTGTAGCTCGAGTTGATTACATTAACTTGCTCACTGAATGCTGCTTTGTTCGACTGGTTGAGTTTTAAACGAGTTAGAGTGGAAGCTGCCTGTTTGTGTCCAGCCTGTCATCAGTGTTTTCTCTGATGTTTCCCTCAAACGAATATTCACAGAATCCACTTGTCTCTGTGGTGGTGGTAGTTGTTTTTTGAATAATTCCTCTCATCTCTGATCTTTAGTTTTCCTCACCGGTGATCTAGAAACCTTGCCACAGCTCACACTTGAAAAGATGAATCTAAACGCAGCAAAACAGTGAACAATGTCAAGTTTGATTTTATTCATGAAGGTCAGGATCGGAACCACTCTGCTTTACAGTCCTGGCAAAGGAAGGCAACATGAATAAGATGTACAATGTTAGAAATCAAATTTGTAGAAAAGAGCAACAGTAAAAGGCATAAAGGAGAAGTTTAAAAGAAACCGAGTAAAGGGCTGACTAAAATACTTAATAAGACTTAGAAGTAGGAATAAAAAGGTGGCACCCAAATTAGATTTAAAACTAGAATCAGATTCAGTAGTGTTCATGCCTCTGCCCAGGCCCAACTGTCCCCCTATGAAACCGCATTTAAATTCACTAGATGCCGATTTTTATTTCTATCCGCTCCAAGTTGCACATACTCATAAATGTCAGTCACTTTTTTCCATCAAGACCTGAACATGAATTATTCTCTGAGAAATAAACAAATGTCACAAAACGCCCTATCTCACAATGTTAAAGAAAATGGACAAAAAAAGTCCTGGACCTGCTCCCTTATCTGGATCCACACCAAAATTGAATGAGATCTTTCCTGTCCGATTCCACATCCTCCAGTTTGGTGGTAATCTGTCCTGTTGTTCTGCCAACTACCAGACAAACACCCAAACATGGACAAAAATCTGTGATATAACAAGGGGCTCAACCATAAAAGATGTTGTCAACACAAATTAAAATGTCCAATTCTATTATTTTTCTGGTAACCGGTGTAGATCTGCCACAATGGGAGTGATTTGTTGCCTTTTATTCCGAAATAACTGCATCCATGTTTGTTTACAGAGAGAAGGAATGTCCTCCTCATCGTGGCAGATGACCTGCGGACATCACTGGGTTGCTACGGAGACCCTGTGGTAAAATCACCAAACCTTGACCAGCTTGCGTCCAAAAGCCAAGTTTTTCTCAATGCATATGCACAGGTCAGTGCACTCACTGTCACAAGTTGTCTAAGCAGCTCAGTCAGTTTGGATGTGAGACTAATTAAATCATACAACCTCGGTTAAATCTTATAGACATTGTATTTGTCCTCTCCTAGCAAGCCGTGTGTGCTCCCAGTCGTACGTCCATGTTGACCAGCCGCAGACCAGACACCACGAGGCTCTACGACTTCAACTCCTACTGGAGAGTCCACTCTGGAAATTACACCACTCTGCCTCAGTACTTCAAATCCAGAGGCTACTTCACCGCGTCTGTGGGCAAGGTTTTTCATCCAGGTCAGATTAATAGCTTAAAGTTTTCATGAAAATCCAAATGGAGGGAGAAATTTTTTTTTTCTCACACAGGTTTACACGACATTCACTTAAGGAGATCCCTGAACATTAAGAAGCACTGATTTTTACAGCAGGTTGATGATGAGCCTGTTCTGGTCCTCTGAGGAGATTCTGAATGATTCAGTTGTTTACTCTGGACATGAGGCATTTTGTGTTTATCTAGTTGTTTGGTTGTAACAAAGGTTGTGTTGTATTCTCTCTTAAGGAATTGCCTCTAACCACTCAGATGACTACCCATACAGCTGGTCCATCCCTGCATACCACCCAGCCTCATTTCATTTCGAGAAAGAAAAGGTATGAATAGGAAACAGCATCTCGGACACCTTTCCACTTTAAATTGGGGTTGGTAATCCTGGAAAAGCTAGACTCCACTTACCATAAATCCCACCCCCTCCCATCAACCCTTTCTATAAAGCTACACCCGCAAAACACTAGAAGCTGACTTTATCCATGACTCCCTCATTAACTAATGGCTATCGTCTCTGCTACGTCTCTCTGGCTGAAGACTGGTCGTGTGCAGTGAGCACACAGGCTGGGTGCATACAGGCAGGTTGGTTAGCGACGGGCAGATATGCCAGCCAGTCATTTTATCCGATGTTTATCACAGTCCTCTGATGGCCACAGACCCTGGATGTGTATTCTTTGTTTAATGGTGGCTATTTGGAATTGACGGACATTTCAACAAATTAAATAGAAGGTTTTCCAGAAACAAATGACCAACTCTACATTTAGTACACATACAACAGCTTGAAGTGATGCAGGCCAACCAAGCTGCCTTAGAAAGTGCTTAAAAATCTCAGTTAGCCTGACTTTCTCTCCTCTCTCTGACAGTCAAGGCCACAATGATATCTAAATGAATGGTAGTTAAATATATGTAGTTATAACAGAGCTCTGCAGCTGTCCACTGTTACTCAGTGGACAAGCAGCATCTGCTCCATATGAGTGGTGAGTAGCAGAGGCTTTTTATGATGTCGCTCTTTCTCATTGAATCTTTGGAACATGTGCACCTCTATCATGAGAGTTAAGGGCTTCTTCACCGAGAACAATCAGTCCACGCAGCAACTACAATAACAGTGGTGACTGACATCTTTGAGATCGTTTTCAGAGCATTTTGCTGAAACACTGATGGCCAATCAACATGCATCTAAAGGGCGCCACATTCAAAAGAAACATAACTGATCTCAAAACCCCACGTGTTTGATAAAACCAGCAGTGTTTCTATAAAGACACCAACAACCAACAACGAGGACTGAATCAGTAAGCAAGTGTTTTCTGACTGTCAGCTGTTCAGTGTGGATGCTCGCATCATTTTTATTTTAGTTATCAGTCTTGTTGTGGACGGCTTTTTAGTGTCTGAATTTTGCAGAAGCTACTGGATGGATGTTGCATGGATCAGGAAAGAATCCAGTACATTTGGCATGGCTCTGTGAATTTTTTCCCCCACTTTCTTAAACATTGTGAGAGAGAGTGTTTGTCATCATTTTCAGTGTGTGCAATTTGGTGCGCATCTAAATAAAAATCCAGATCTAGTAAATTTCTGTGGTTTCATAGGGGATTGTCGGGCCTGGGGCCATACCAGGTGCCCTTCTTGTTGAAAATCTAATTTAAAGTGCCGCCACCTTTTTTAAATTTTGCTTTTAATTCAGCTTGGGTCTGTCTTATGATTCACTACCCAAAAACTCTGAGTGCCATTCTAGTTTTGTGTCTGAAGTCTAAAATCAGAATGTGGCTGGTGCTTATATCCTCCTGAGGTGATACTCTGTCTGAATCTTCAACAATTGAAAATCCAAAGTCTGAATTTTCTTTGCTGGATCTCTCAGTGAATTAATCTTTTTCACAAATTAGAAGTAGATGGTCTATATCTGTTTGATCCTCTTCAGACTTGTCTCTGAAAAATGTTAATCATTTCCTGTGAGGTCTGTGCCTGTGATTGCATCACTTGAAGTTGATTCTGTGTCATAGTCACTCAGAGAATGATTTAATTCATGTGAATCACTCTGGGTGCAGACAGTCATGGACTCATAGGCTGCATTTGTGAAAGAGCTGGTGTCTCTGTGATCTCTGTGAAGAGACATTAAATGATATAGTGTTTGGCTGGGAGAGACTGTCTGCACCGAGATGGAACACTCCTTCCATCATGTCTTTATAATAAGAGCGTCATTGTCCCCTGTGTAGGTCTTAACTGCTTCTTTCAAAATTGTAATGGATTCAAACACCCACAGTTAAACTTTGGGTTTAAAACCCAAAGTTTTCTTTAACCTGTCTGGATCTGATCGTTTATTTAATGAACCACCGTCAGGTTTTCTTCTCAGGACTACGCAGGCGATAGTCTGACCGATGCAGCGTCACATTACTTCATTTGGGGTCGATGCACATTTACCTGGAATCCAATCCCCACATTATCAATGGCTTCAATAATAACTGGACTCATGTTAATATCAGGAATGTACACTACCTCTACCATAGACTGTAAGTACAGATGGAGATGACGGCGGTGGTGGCTTGCTGCAGTCCAGGTCATACATGCTGCCTCTCCCATGTTAGCAGACATGGACCTAATTTTTTTTTTTTTAAAGTTAAATCATTTTTTGGTATTTCTTATCACACTGATGTTTGGTTTTTGATGTCAGCTCATCAAACACTGAAATGGAAATCATAGAAGTAACAATGCATAAAAAGTGACTTTTAGTAAATCGCATGAAAATCTTGTTTGCAGATGTGTAAAGGAGAGGACGGTAAACTCCACGCCAACTTACTGTGTGCAGTGAATGTGACGGAGCAGCCTGGGGGAACCCTGCCTGACCTGGAGAGCACAGACGAGGCCGTGAGGTTACTGAAGAGCTGGGCCAACGATGATGTTCCGTTCTTCTTAGCTGTGGGATTTCACAAACCACACATTCCCTTCAGGATACCACGGGTACGTGACTCAATATCAACGCCCTCTGCACAAAATGTTAGATAATAGTTAAACCAGTATAGTTGTTTTGTGAAAACCAGTATTTATTAGTTTTGCTGTATGATGTGAAACTTGTAATGACTAATGTAAAGGAAAGCAAAGAATGAGATGTACATACTGTCTCTGAAGTGCATTAAATAACTAGTGACCTGGATGTATAGGAGATGCAGTTTAGCATGAAGGAGGGACAGAGCATGATGAAGTGGAATATGAATGAGAGCAGAGAGAGATGGAGCAGAGATGGATGTCACCGTGACAGAGAGGTTTCCCTCAGCGTGTAAGTCGAGAGATGGGAAGTGGGAAAAGGTCAAACCAGCTCCTCTGTGTTGACATGTGATTTATGGTACACGGGATTTAGCTCGAAGCTCGTGGACGCACCCGGAGAACGGAGCAAAGAATGAAAAGATCAGTCTCTGGAACGATAAAAATAAATCAAACCAAAAAAACATCTGAGAACATATACTTTAATCATGACTCCTGTCTCCTTTTATTTTTTTAATAATCAGGCCAGTTATGTGCTTTTTGGCAGATTCTACTTATCGAGTATTTTGGTAAAAGGAAGAAATAACAAGTAATGTGTAAGGAATCTTTGTAACACTACTAGTTAACTTATGAGGATCATAAAAAAAAAAAAGATTTTACGTGTATGTAAAAACATCCCAGTATTTTCAAAGATCTAATGTTTCATCATGATGGAGATCACCAGTTGTTTTGTGTAGCGTGTCCCTGCCTTTATTAAACACCACTCTGAATCGTGTTGCATATTTTTAGGAGTACCTGAGCCTATATCCCTTAGAGGAAATGACCCTGGCCCCTGACCCCAGTGTCCCAAAACTCCTCCCCCCTGTGGCCTACAACCCATGGACCGACGTGAGAAAGAGAGACGATGTCCAAAAACTAAACATCAGCTTTCCTTACGGACCAATTCCCAAAGACTTCCAGGTTTGAGCTGCCATGTTTTAAAACAATGTATAACCTCTGTGCTCCTTGAAACAGTTAAACACTGGTGTTCTGTACCATTGTATTCCAGCTGCGGCTCCGTCAGCATTACTATGCTGCTGTGTCTTACATGGACGCTCAGGTTGGACGGCTGCTCAGTACTCTGGACGATCTCAGGCTGGCTGACGACACTATGGTGGTGTTCACCTCAGATCATGGTCAGTAGACACGAGAAGGAATGGCTGAGGAAGGCTACAATGCTGCTGTTTATTCATCTTTCAGGTTTTTGTAAAATGAATCACTCAAATGCCAGTTTTCATTTAGTGGAGATTTTTTGATATTTAATAAGTATCCACGTTTGACTGTTCTTGTGTTCCACCACCAGATGGCAGTGTTGTAACAGCATATGGTGTACTTGTTACCCTCCACAGTTAAATTCCAGCTCTTTTTCTGCACCACCTCCTTTATTTTAAAAACCTTTCCATTACTCGGAAAGTCAATTTCTTTTAATGTCTCCTATAAAAACATTATTAAAATAAATTTCCTCAACACTCTCTCCATCTGAGATGTGATTTGTACAATCCAGATTGACTGACTCTGTTGTCTTTTGTCTTTCTACACATCTTCTCTGTCTCCCTGTTGTTGCAGGTTGGTCATTAGGAGAACATGGAGAATGGGCTAAATACTCTAATTTCGATGTGTCGACGCGTGTCCCTCTCATCTTTTACGTCCCTGGTGTCACAACACGCCAAGATTTTCTGGGAGTGTCTCCTTTCCCCTTTATTGATGTCTTAACCAAATCAGAGTACAGCTTTAAGAGTAAGACCCTCCACTGACATCAAATTTGTTTCTTTAATAACATGTACATTTGGTCTTTCTGAAGGCACCATGAACGTCAAGTCAAATGGAGCTCAAGTTCGATTTCATCTTTTTCTTTTAATTGGTCACATAAACCCTGTTGAAACATTTATTAATATGCCAACTTGACTTTAATGAAGTCTTTGATATACATGGAGAAATTCAAAAGTATTTAGACAAGGATACACTTTGATATTTTGCCTCCAGACAGTTTTTACTTCAAATGCAAATGGTGCAATAATGATGAAATTTCAGTGCAGGATGTCGAGTAAAATTTAGTGGATGTCTTGACTAATTTGCTCTCAGTGGTTTAAAAAAAAAAAAAAAAGAGAAGACTTTTCTTTAATTGGCTGACCCTTCTCTCTTCCAGATGACAAAGTTAGAAGAAACGTTGTGGAGTTGGTGGATGTGTTTCCCACAGTCGCCTACATGGCCGGCCTCCGCGCACCTGAACCTTGTGATGATGTTTCTTTTCAGGTAAGAAAAGATGAAAATGGACGTTTTTATTGAATCTTAGTAGTTTTCAGAGGGGAGGCACTTGTTACCAAAGTTACTACATGATTGGTCTCTCAGCCTTGATTTTGTTCTGCGAAGATCGTTCTGTTGCATTTGTTAGCTGCATGGCTAATATCTGGAAAACTGAATGATGAAACATGATGACATCGGTGATCCCCTGAGTTTTAGCATTTCTATTTTAGTGAAACGTCTCGGCAGGTTTTAGATCAAAAAGTTGTTATGAAATTTAGTTGGGACATTCAGGATGAATCTTAGTAATTGTGTTGATAACCTGTTCTTTCATGTGGTGCCATCCTGTCAAAATTCTCATTTGTCCTAAAATGAGAAAATACCTGCAAATCTAATAACATCCCCACCAGCATCAGATGTGCTTTTGTTTCTATTTTAATTTAACCTAGCATCTACTAAACTAAAAATGTAAAACATCATGCCTGCTGAACATTAGCATGTAAGCATTTTCACAGTAAGACCTCACGTTAGCATTTAGCTCACCACAGAACCACACTGTGTTCATCTCATTACTCAGACTGTGCTTATCTATGTGCACCTGAGTGGGAAACAACGTCTCACTCACAGAGTCAAACATTTAGGTTATTTCTCACAGCTTCAATGGTTTAACTTGGCAACAGAATCAAATACATGACATTACATTTTGCATGTTACACTGTCCGTTTAGGTGAAATCCAATATTAAGGCCAACTAAATGAATTCAGCTAATTTAAAAAGGAATTTCACTATATTTATTTGGGTTCCCTTATTAATAAATGCCAACAAATATGTGAAATAAAAAAGCGAATGCAGCGATTAAAACAGTTGTGTATTATACGTTTAAGTTGATATTTATCCAGTGTAATTAACATGTCTCAGAGGTTAATGTCTTGATAACACTGGAGTGTCCACACTGTCATGGTGAGCATGTTTACATGCTAATATTTGCATGTGACTCAAAGCAGCGCAGCCTCACAGAGCTGCTAGCATGGCTGTAGATGTTTGATGGTGATGAATATTCAGTGAAGCACACCTTAGTAATCAAAGTGTTCAAAAACAATAGAAAATAAGAATGTGATCTTAAGTAAGTGCAGGAAATCACATGGTGCTGATTCCAAGCCATTTTACAGAGGACAGAGCAGAGACGTTTCAGGCGTATTGTTACAGAACAACATGACCGAATGAATCTAGAAGTAAACACTCCATAAACATGTCCAAACATGCCCAACATGAACCTGATCTAATTGGCTCCGACATTTGTTTCCTTCACTGTGCTGCCTGTTCTCTTGCTTTCAGGAGGAGCTGTGCACAGAGGGAGACAACCTCGCCTACACTTTCCGACACAGAGAAAGAGGAGAGGACGAGGAAGCGGTATCTTTTAGCCAGTACCCTCGACCTGCTGATACACCACAGGTACCTGAGATTGAGTGTCCAGAAAAGTCAATGTAACAGCCTTCATGAGCCGGCTGAAGGTAAAATCATTACGTTTTCCATCAGTCAGAAAGCTGCGACAGAGCACTGAGGCCCTAGTGAAGAAAGAATTCTGTGATTTTGAGAATCACAATCTTAATATTGGGAGAATAAAGTCACGAGTTAATGAGGGGGAAACAATTAGGAAGGAGAACCAGCGCTCTCTGGAGTTCCACCTCCTTCAGGATCTAAAGTCTTGAACCAATCTTGACAAACTATGAAATTCCTTTGAATGTTTCCCAGATGTACCAAACTACAGCCTCACAGTCGCTCGCTTCAAACTTTGGTTCTTTCTTCAGAATAGACACCATTTTTCCACCATCCTTTCAAATTGTTATTTGTGAATTTTATTCCAAAGTGTAACTTAAGATGCTCCACATTCTTCATTTGAACACAGACTATATCTTCATTATATTACGACTTAATTCTCGTTATATTGTGTCTCTACTTTATTCTCATAGTATTACAAATGTACTCCTGTGATATTCTCAATAATAAATGTCAGATGAATTAGTTTTTTTTACCTTAAGTGACTGTAATACTCCGTCAAAGGAAGCATCAAACCAAACGGTTATATATTTCATATAAAACGTGCCACACTGATAAAGCGCTGACATGACTGGTTACACTGTCACTCTTTGAACCTCTGTTGTTTGTACGTGAGCTGCCAGCTTCAAACACACAGTCTCTGAATGAAAATGTCCGTGAGTGATACAGCACCTGCTGCAGGTTAATCTCTGTAAAGTTTGGCAGCGTGACATCAGCTCATCGGTCGGCTCGCAGGAGTTGGCAGCTGCAGATCTGAGTACCTGTGCTCAGTTTAAGTTGACTGGTCTTCTTTTAGGTGAACTCAGACCTCCCTGACCTTAAAGACATAAAGGTCATGGGTTACTCTCTACGCACCTGGGACTACAGATACACACTGTGGCTGGGATACAACCCGAAAACATTTCAGGTAGGTGTTTCACTTACCTGTGCAGCATGACATCTCATCTACTGTGTGTGTGTGTGTGTGTGTGTGTGTTGGATCCATCCATCTTTTCTGGCTCTATGTGTTGAGACGTTTTCAGTGACGGTAACAAATGATAGTTGGCTAATGTCCATATGTCTCTCCATGCAGGTGAATGTGACTGACGTCCATGCTGGAGAGTTGTACATGTTAGCAGACGACCCCGGGCAGGACAAGAACGTCTACAGCGACACGGATCACAGTGTGATCATGAGGAAGATGACCAGCCTGCCTCATGTAAGTTTGAATTCAGTCAAGTCAATAAATAAATGGAGGCCGTGTCAGAAATCCCCCACTAATCACTATAGAGTGAGTTCACCATTTTGTAGTGGTGTCAGAATGTATAGTGAAATGCACCGCTCAGAAAAACGAAGGGATATTTGATCGTCACAGTAAGATGATCCAGATAGGAAGAGACATTATGCTGCGTGTAACATCCTCCAGCATGACTGGTTGGGTGTGTGTTTTTACAGGGTACCTCCCTAATATTTTTGATGCCGTTATTTGATATTTTTCTGACTGGCATGAGACAAATTTGGGAGTTTTGGTGGTAAAATCTATGATAAGAGCAGAGCAGCGTATCACAGCACAGACAGCGGCAAACAAGTTTCTTTCTACATTAAACATGGCCATTTTCCCTGTCCAATGTTGTCGTTGGACATCATAATCCTGCAAGAATGATGTAATTACTGGTGCTGGACAGATTTTTTACTTACTTATTTACTTCTTTCCCGACTCGTCCAGACTGTGACTCTGCAGACGAGAATGAAGCTGCAGCTCCTCTACCTCACAGCAGGGATGAAGAGGAACAGTGGGAAAGCGTGATGACGAGAATAAACTACAACAGATGGACGGATGAGGACAAGTACAAAGGGAAGATGGATGGATGAAAAACTTTGTCTGGAAAGGAGGAATTCCTCTGATAATTCTTTTAACACAACACACTTGATTCTGTATATTCTGCGACCACCGTTAATCTTTAAAGCTCAGTTCTTCCGGCTAATGTTCCGTGTTAAGAACTCGTCAGCAGACTGGAGTCAAAACATGAGTGAAGTGAACAAAAGAGCATATGTGCTGTTAGTTTCAAGACATGAAGGAGTTTAGCAAAGAAATAATTTACATTTTGACAAAGAGAAACATCTTTATATAAACAGAAACTCTTCCTCTAACTAAACAGAGCCAGTGTTTTCAGTGACGGGCCTCTTCACAGCTGCTGTTCATGTCTGTATCTACTTACTTGTGTGGAGGAAATGTTATGGTGTTTATTTAGTCTCAAAATTTGCAAGTGCAAAACAATGTGAGGAATCACTTCTGCTCCGTGTGCACGACGAGCGAGGGACTGGCGACGGTGTCGTGCACATGGAGCAAAAATGATCGTGTGTGAGGGTTTCTTTCGCTAGCAGATGCTGATCTGTGCGCTTTCAGAGTAGATCCTCCCTCCTGAGTGTGGGTTTTTTTGTGCGGGAATTTTGAGACTAAATATCATGTCTAAATTTCAATGGCAGCAGGAACAGTTATTTTTTTCTGTCGAAAATTTAACAGCTAGTTAGCTTAGCTTGAACACAACGCAAAAATATGTTTAGTTTCTACGAAATTGCAGTACTTGTTGAAAATTCTTATATTTCAACTGCGATAAATATTTTAAATAGTAATAGTCAGACGCATTGGTAAGTAGTATTGTAAACTTTGGACAGAGCCTCGCTAGCTGTTTCCTCAGGAGTACTTCCTTTTTGCCGAGTTAATCGTGAGACAATAATGCTCATATCTAGTGTTCACATATGAATAAAGTGTAGATATAATGCTGGATGCACAGCCTCCTGACGGACAGCTCTGATTGGCCATGAATTCACTACCCCCTCTATGAGGAGACACTTTACGAGTCTTTTCATCAGAAGCAATATCGAAGAAACCTGAAGATTTAGATCTTTTGATTCACAGCGACACCAATTTCCTTTTTTCTGGATCAAGTGTTCATCATATTGATCGTTCAGTCAGCTTCAGGTGTCGTCTCCACTTTAAAGCACAACAGCTAAAGAGTGCTTGAATAGTTCTGTACAGTGGTGTGAAACAAAATGACATTTCTATTTGCACTTGACGTCCCTCACAGCTATTTGCCTCAAATAGTCGGTTCAGATCAATTTGTGGAATTGAAATGAAGTGAGTAAAAGCCATAATAATTCAACGCAAATGAAACTGAGCATTTTACTGCTGCTCCAATGCGTGAACATTTTGGTGCTGTGGTAATTTTAGAAGAGTCATTCCAGCTTGAATTTCAGGTTCAGCAATGAATCAAAGGGATTTGGTCTGACAACTTATATTGTGGGCTGCCCTGTCCTTGTGTTAATGGGATACAGTTGAATCATGGTATCAGCAGGGCTCTTATCATATGTGAGGTTGTTGGGGGGGTGGAAATGAATTGGAACATTTTTGCCTTGTTTCCTCTTATCAGTGGAAATCATTGTTGAGAGAATTTATTTCTTCCCAGGATGACCTCCGCCCTAGTGAGAATTTTTCCAGTGGTTTGCCTGTGCTCTGTGTCCTCTTACTTTAACATGTGGAACAATGGACATAATCAGTAATGTATACTGTCCATACAGATGCCCACAATGGAAAAATCAACTTGAGTGTGGTTTGTGTTTGAGCGTCTTTAAGCTCCATGTTTCTGAAGGGAAAATAAATGCTGTAAATCTTGAGCTTGGCAACAACACATTAATATATTCATGTCACTTTTGATTGGCTTGTAATAAAAAATAAAAATGTTTTTCTATAATGCAAGCAGCAGTTTACTTTTTTTGTAACTTATGATCACAACCTCCTCCAGTGTTTGTGTCCTGCTGCAGAAACTCCACATTCTGCTGCCTGTCCACACACCTGCTGCTCTGTTGTGGTGTTTTTTGTGTTCTCACCCTCAGTAGAAGTGTAAAGCTGCAGAGAAGAGGGACGCTCCTCAGGGACCTTGCCAGTGTATTCAGTGTTTTCTCTCCTTCCTCACTCCTTCTGTTGTTTCCTCTGGAGCACACATTGCACATGACTGCACTCTCTCTTTGGCTCTGGAAGAATTTGGACTGGAATGAACAGTCCCTAATTTGTGTCTGATTCCACAGAGTCGCTCTTTCTCTGCAACAGAAATGGTTAAAAGCCTTGTAATTGCATTTTGAAATATACTGGAGAATAATTCTGTTTCATGCTTTTTGACTTTTTTATTTCTTTCTTTTTCTTTTTACGATTTTCAATTTACTGGCAATAAAGCAGAACGATGTGTAGAACTCAGTCAAAAAGACCAGAGAAGCTCCTGACGTCTCTCCCCTTCCTGTTTCACCTTCCTCTAATGATTATCTTCCTTCTGTCTAAGGGCTGCCATTGAGCATTTCTTTATTATCTGGTTGTAATGGTATATGAGACAACAGAAGCAGCATCTGATGGCTAAATTAAACCTGGGGGCAGTGGAACAGAGCTTTGACCACAAAGGTACTAACGAATGAATTTTCTGTTCTAATGGTGTCGTGCATGAGGACACACTCACTTTACAAGTCAGCCACGGCCAAAACTTCTTGATCGTCTTCTTGATCGTCATTGCAGGTATTTCTTATCACACTGATGTATGTTTAATTAGTTAGCTGATGCTTTAAAAAACAGGGTGAAAAATCATGATGAGGCCGATCGTGTGTATCAGTGGGACCTTGATACCAAAGCTCCAAAGATCGCCACTGCACAGACACTTTTTCTGGATAGGGAGAAGCAACAAAGGTAGAGTCAAAGAAAGCTGCTGTAAGTGAGTGGTTATTTATATTGTGCTTTTTGATCTTGACGACCACTTAAAGCACTTTACAAAACAGTTTTTGCAATTCCCAAGGACACTACAGCAAGCAGAACTGAGAAACCTGGGATCGAATCACTGTCCTTCTGGTTAGAGGACGACCTCTCTACCCCCTCAGCCAGTGTTGTTATAAATTATCCTCTCTTGTTCGTTACGTTACAAACTCTTTTGGTATGAAACACTGAACGTGAATTTCAAAGGGCAGTCAGCACGGCTAGTGTAAGCATAGCAAATATTGGCAAATAAACACATGCAGCAGACATGGATATCTGTGTGTTCTGTTGCTAAATACTCCACTATGTTCATGAGTAGCTAACTTTGTTTATCGTTTCGGTGTTGGACAGGTTGTTTACTTGCAGTAGTCTTTTATTTATTCATGAAAAAAGCTAGATAACTAAAACAAAAAAAGTTGTGGGGTATAAAACCAAAACAATCGGTTGAAAGATTCTAAAACTCTGAAACAGAAGACAGGGTTGCAGGGTTGAGTGATAATGCCTTGCTCATGGGCAGCTCACCCCTCCTCCGGCCTGGGCTTTTATTTTGAAGGTGAGCCTAAAGTGTGAGTCAGCTGTAACCACTCTCCTGTACTCTGCCTGTATTCACGTCAGCTCATATTTCTGCCTCAGTTGCTTTATCGGATCAATATTTATCATCACAGGGTTCTCCGGCCACCACAAAATTGATCTAATGGCAATTACATTAGTGTTTAGCTGCTGTTCCCCTGCTGCTGCTGCTGCTCTTTTCTGTTTGTCACTGCATCTCACCTGCTCTCTCCCTCCAGCCCGCTCATCGTCTTCATCATTATGCCTCGTACGCTGGTAATCACATTACTGCTGCGGGCTCGTATTGTGGCAGGTCACACTGGCTTTCTGTTAACGTTGGCGACGTACACAATTACATTAGAGAGGGTGAGAGTATGTGTGTGTTTGTAAAAACAGCTTAGCTCAGCTGGATCAAGGCTGGTCTCAAGTGTGTGTGTGTGTGTGTGTGTGTGTGTGTGTGTGTGTGTGTGTGTGTGTGTGTGTGTTTACTGTGGGTGAATGGATCCAGGAGTAGTAAACAAACTGTACTCTGTGTCCAAGGACTTGAAGTATTTTCTTCTCTTAATTAATTTTGTAGATAGGATGTCTGCTTCTGAGGCTATAAGCTGCTCACAGTCATTTATCTGGCCACTTTCACATTGTGGAGACCTGAGAGGAAAGCTATAGTATGGACAACTTTATACTCAAGAAGCTTCCTGAGACACAACCATGCTCTGCATTCGAATGTAAATGGAAGAGGAACAATAGCAGCCACTGTGACCTGCACTGCAATGTCACTGCTGTTACAGAGAAATCAAGGTTTTTAAACAGGCACAGTTTGGTCAGTCCACAGAATGAGGGACTGTGTATATATGTGCCTGATGGACAGTTCCCTGATTCTCATGTAAAGACATGAACTCTGCACAGTGGGGTCCGGACTTTCTCCAGAGTTTTTCTTTCACATAGGAAAAACTCAGCAGGAGATTCTCCGCTCAGACGCGTTAACAGCATCAGAGATCTTTAGAGCGTTCAGGTAAGGAGTGGTGCAGCAGACAGAGGAAGGACAAACAAATTCCTCTGTGGAAATCACGTGTTTTTGTTTACAGCACCTCGACACTGGTATCAGCGCTTATCATCAAAAGTTCTCTATCGTGTCTTGGTGTCTTCTACGTGTCTCCTCAAGATGATGTCTTGCTGTTTTCTGATATGATCTCATTCAGACATTATCCAGTGTTTTTACTAGGGGGCTTAATCAATCAATCATATTTTATTTGTATAGCCCATATTCACAAATCACAAATTTTCTCATAGGGCTTTAACAAGGTGTGGCATCCTCTGCCATTAAACCTCAACAAGAGTAAGGAAAAACTTCCAAAAAAACTTTTAACAGGAAAAAAATAATGTAGAAACCTCAGAGAGAGCCACATGTGAGGGATTCCTCTCCCAGGACAGACAGAAGTGCAATAGATGTCACGTGTAATGGGGAACGTCAGAAAAATAGGAGTAATTACAGCATTGGTTAGAGTAAATAGTGAGGACTGGCCAGAGAAACCAGAGAAATTCCAGACAACATCTGGAGCCTCTCACTCAAACATTTGTGTTCTCACATACAGCCGCTCTGAAAAATGTCAGGAGATTCTTTGGAGTTCAGTGCATGACTGAAAGCAGCTTTAGTTTTGCCGCCTCCAACAAGTTGGTTATGTTTCCATGAAACATGTGGGAAGAATATAATTGTGAACAAAACAGAAGACGTGAAACTTCTTCACTGATCCGTACAAAGGGGAGGATCCAGGAAATGTTTATCACTTTAAAAGGGATATTTCTGTTTTTCAACCTGGGCCCTATATTTATAAATGAATGGTACTCACAAAAACAATTGGAATCAGTCCAGTTGCTCATGTCTGCAGGTAGACACAACATGTGACTACAATTTGATCTCATGGGGCGACTGAGTCACAATTCCCAGCATCACTCTGTCCAACCTCAGGGTGAAGCTTGTTTTGACAGTTAACAGTGAAAACATGTCAGAAATCCAATGGAAGAAGTCTTCATGTTTATCAGCAGTACACTGTGTCATTTGCAGGGAACCGCTACATGTTTTATTCTTTTTAATCTGCTCTGTTTTTGCACTGTTGTTTCCACTGCTGGTCAGAGGAGACGGGTTCAGCATCAAGGAAACAGACGGTTAGAAGGTGGACTGGATGTGATATGCTAGCTGTCAGCGTGAAACCAGTTTAATCAGGAGTCATTCAATTAGAGCTGACGAGGTCTTCCATCGTTAGCGCCTCTGGAAGTGTGAACCGCCGAGCTGCACGGAAAAGCTCTGCGTTTTAACAAAATCACTTTTTAAACGTGGCAAAGAACGAGAGGAGGGATAATCTATTAACACTGCCACTGCACATTGAGACAGAGGGAATTCATTTACTGAGTGGGTTGCTTTTAATTAAGTGGAATTGCTGTAATCAACTCTTCAGTGGGAGCTGGTGAGGGAAACCTGTGCTTCTGAAAATGGGTCAAAATGCATTCTCAGTCAAATGTGAAATATATCAAGACCAGGCTACTGTTTGGAAAATTAAATGAAAAACATCAACATCAACTAATTTTAAACAGAAGTTTGTTGCCTATAGTTATCCAAGGCGTCACTAACAAAACACATCCGACCAACAACGTTTCTGTTCATCATTAATTAGAAGAGTTGCGAGCTACTGTCATTGTCAGGGAAATACACAACAGGACATCTTATTATACATTTTGTATGTTATTATTGTTTGGACCTGTTTTCTGTTGAGGAACTGTTACATTCTTCAGCAGTCACCACAATAACAGGAACTTTCATTTGCTCAACGTCTTATTATATCAAAATGTGTCTCTTTCACATTGTTACAAGACAAAATGTTTGGACGACACATTTTACTGCTTTTTACTGAGTACATGCCAAACTATTCTGTTCTCATAACAAAACACCTTGTGGGTGCCGTCCTCTTGTCCCATAGATACATCTTGTAACTGCAGTAACCTTCAAATTCCAGCCTCAGTCCAACAATAACAAACAGTAATGCCAACCTGTTGGTGCACATCATGAAACACTGAACTTTATAGTTGCTGAACAAACATCTGAACCTGTAGCTGACATCAACAAGAAAAATAAACAAGTGCAGGTTAATTCATTGTGTAGTTAACTTTTACTTCATGTGTAAGATGAGAATAGTGAACACACTGTGCTAGCCAACTCCATCTTAGAAGGTGCTCACTTAATATCTTTTAAACAGTGCCAGGTATTTTGGTCCTTGAGCCCAGCTAAGTTCAAACTGCTCATTTTAAACTTATGATGAACAGACAGAGACCGAGACCAGAGAACAGTTCTTTTCTCATAATAAGAAAATGATCTTTTACAGCAATAAACTGTCATAATATAAACCATTTGCTTCTTTTTTGTAGATTAGTATGAGGCTCTTGAGTGAGCCTTTGAAAACTCACACAGTAAATCACGTCTGTTCACATTCAGAA